CTTCCACTTTTACTTCAAGAGGATACAAGTTGTGTCCATTTTCGGCAGCTATGCGCAAATTTGGTCGACGGCTAAATGGAGTTTGGTCTCGGACCGACTGACGTTCGATTCGAGATATACAAATGACCCATTCCTATTGTTTACTACACAGGATGATGGAGTATCACTAAAAGTAAGGGACAAGTGTAAGGATGAATTCACGATTAAACACCGAAATGTTTATAATAATGTGTTTGGATGTCGAAAAAAAAAACACAACAGGACCGCAAAATTCAGGTATAAGGTGACAATGCAACTGCCCGCCAAGTAGTTAGTGGCCAGGTCGCTAGAATCCTTCCGTTACGAGCTTGCGTCTGACTGAGCACATGCGATACTATTTAGGATTAGGAATCAGTCAGACAAAGCATTCATCCAAAGCTGAAAGGAACCAGCAATTGCACTCGTCAACCGGCCAATTGAAGATGCGCCATAGATGAGCTGACGGCAGCAAGCATCGGAAATAGGGATTATCTAGATGTAAAGTACCACAATGTACTTTTCGTGATAAATGTGACCGCCGCCGCCACCGCCTTCGCCCTTGCCATTCATTAGTTTGGCTTCCGCAGGGAAAAGCAACTGTTCCATTGGGTGGGTGTGTGCATGTTGAGGCAAAAGCTGCAGTTGGGAGACGGGGAAGAAGGAGAGGCATTCTCTAACGGTAAGTGTACTGCATGCTGAGTCATCGATTCAGTACCAACAATCTGCAAAGCATGCGGCTAGCGTGTACGCGAAAAGAAAAACAGTAGTCAGCTTCAGCTGAAAAGGGAGCTCAAACAGAGGACAGAATTCAGTTTCGCCTCTGATTTTGCAGCAGTGCGGTGCCGCCAGTCGTGCCAAACAACGAGGAGTCCTTTGTTCATCTTTACAGCCCACACTAGGCCTCCACATGACCGATTTTCTCGCGCCAGTGACTGAACTCGCCGAGAATAGAATCGAGTCGCTGTTATTGGTGTATAAAGTAAAGTGCACTATAAAAAGTGCAACCCAGGATTTTAGTGCGACCCAGGCGTGGAAGCGATGGGTTTTTGTCGCTAGTTTGGTGAAGATGCTTAACTAACAGAACCGTAATGATGGAAAGTCCTCCTAGATCATGCAGAAATGCATTTAATACCCACCAATTGGCTACTGTACTTCTGCTTACCTGCGTTGGCTAGTAAATTGTCCCACGTTTAATGCTAGGCTACTCTGATGTGGTACCTATAGCACGATGCCCAACCAGTGAAAACATGATTATCCTGCTTCTAAGACATGCCTATGGGTATTTGTAGGATTGGTAAGACAAGGCAGTCAGGAAGGTGAATGACTAGCGAGTCATGTAACAACTTCCAAAGGCTAAACGTACTATGACCAGAGATTTTGTAATAATGTCAAATAGAATTGTTTGAAGGGTCTATCCGAAGCTGGTTAAGGACAAAGAGTGCAACCTACCTGCGAGAGTGTAGTTGGCTGGCAGACCGTGTCCATCAACAACGTACATTTCTGCCATTCGAGCAAGCAGTCGGTGAACGGGCCACAAATCCTCTGCAGCATCATAACGTCCCTCAGCATCACAACCCTCGTCAACAGTTGTGGGCGAG